GTTAAAAGTTGATATTAATTTTTAGTTTAAGGAAATATACTTTGAAAGAAGCTGAGATTGAAATAACTTATCTGTCATGGATCATCTTTTCGATACTGATAATGATGATCGGAATCATGATCAAGAAGGTCAAGGAAACGGTTTCCAACAACAAATACATCAACTGCTACGTTTAGTAGCAGGCACGCTTCCACAAGCCATTGAAAATAACCAAATACAGGAAACGAACGTGGTGACCATCCCTACGTTTTCAGGAGGAAATCAAGACCCAGTAGCATGGCTTGAAGTGGTGGGCTGTGCTTTCGAGGCTAACAACATCCAGGGAGATAGACGAATTGCAGTTGTAGGAGCATATCTTACGGGGATGGCAGCAATGTAGTGAGAAATGAGGAGAAATGTTAGGCCTCATATAGATAGCTGGGAAGATGATTTTTGACCGGATACGAACTTTGTGCATCAGTTTCGGTTAAATTTTTGTACCCAGATGCTTCTGAGTCAATGAAGCACTGAATTACTTACCAGACGCCAAAAGGTTGAAGAGACAGTTGATCAATATGCAGCGAAAATGGTGGCCTTGTTTAGGCGAGTAACGGTGGGTGGCAATCATTATCCTGAAGCAATGAAGGCACAAATTTTTGTGCAGAGATTACGACCTGACCTAGCACTGGCAGTAGGATTATTTATGCCTGATACGCTACAAGCGGCGATAGAGAGAGCCAAAATTAGCGAACTGACCCTCCTAGAAACATGACAATACACAATCCAACACCTTTTATGAATCCAGTAGCCTCTTACCTCCAACAATCATCTAACTTAATAGCTCAACCCACTATTCCAGACCCTGTCGGAGAACTGATAAAGAAATTAACTTTTTTAATGGAAGAATTAGTAGTGTCGTTAAAAAAAGTAATTCCAGAGGAAATCAACAACAAAATCGGAATAATGCGCCATTCCGTGGAAATCGTGCACAGATTACGTGTTTCGCCTGTAGACAGCTGGGACATATTGCCTCTGAATGTCCTACAGTAATAAATAACAATAATAATAATCAACAACCTTATGGAACGGAAGG